AATTGTGTAGACTATATATATATATATATATATATACACACACACACACACACACACACACACACATATATATATAAAACAACGAGTCTTGTCCTACGATATGAATAATATACTTTCTCCCCTTGAACAACCACACAGCGCGTCATAACAAATGCATTGCCTTTGTCTCACAACCTACTTAGAGACCTACCTAGGCAGCATATTTGGGCATCATAAGAGCTTTCCGAGTCCGCTGACTAGAATACCCTAACTGCTGTCTAGCTAGGCAGCTTACTAGGTTTTAAAACACAGCTACTTCCTCATCAGGACAGTCACATGGGAAGAATACGATCGTTTAAATATGGCTGCTGTTGGAGGATATCAGTTTATTGAGCGGCTGGAGTACATCGAAACAGCGGTGTCTTCGTTTAGATTTCTTATATAGATGCCGGATTATAAATAGGTTTATATAAGCGGCGACGATTGATAGATGTATCAGATTTATGGCAGGTGACGTCAAAGGTCTGTCAGGCTGGAGAGCATCGTCTTCAAGCTCATGTATATCAGATCGTGATCTGGCTCAGTGGACTAACCAGCCGTGCTGCAAAGAGAGCGATAGAGAGAGAGAGAGTCCTCAGTGCACAACGTATTTATGATTTGTGTTTTCAAAATGATGTCTCTGTGAAATGTTCTGTTTTCATTGATTGTGATACTGAGCATGGAAGGATATTTCTGCTGATGTCTCTCTATATACTCCGAGAACATGATTGGCTCACCAGATGTGGTGGCTTTTACCAAAGAAGATGACTTTGGGGACTCGTTCTCGGATCCATGCTCACTTCCAGAGGAGTTTTCTGTGCCTTTGTTTGCTCATGCTGCCAATGCAAATCCCTGGACGAAGACATCCTATGCTAAATTCTCAAAGGATTTCATACTGGTCTCTGAATTTTCGGAACAGGTCGGTCCACAGCCTTTACTCACCATTCCCAATGATCCCAAAGTGTGTGGGACATTTGACCTTAACTACTTCTCACTTCGCATCATGTCTGTGGACTACCAGGCTTCTTTTGTTGGACATCCTCCTGGCAGTAACTACCCAAAGCTCAATTTTGTGGAGGACTCAAAAGTTGTCCTGGGTGATTCCAAGGAAGGGGCGTTCGCTTACGTCCATCATCTGACACTGTACGACTTGGAGGCTCGTGGATTTGTACGCCCCTTTTGCATGGCCTACATTTCCGCAGACGAAAGGAAGATCATGCATCAGTTTCAAGAACTGTCATCCGAGTTTTCCAAGGCTTCCGAATTTCTCAAGTCAGGCAACAGGAAAGCTTTTGCAAATGAACTGGAAAAGAAACTGAAAGACCTAGAGTACACCAGATCAGTGCTGCACAAAGAGACTGAGCTGCAAAAAAAGAACAATGGCTGTTATTCCACACAAGCTATTGAGAAGGCGAATGAATTAGCAAATGTGGAGAAGTCCATCTATGAACACAAAGATCTGCTGAAGCAAATAACATCTTATCCTTCCAGGAAAAAGAAAGATGTAGGTTTTGTACAACGCGAGACAGAGAAACTGGCTGACACAAGTGTATTGGACGATACACTAAATAGTAATCATTCTGACATTGCCGATAAGACTGTGTTAACCGAAAGCGATAGTAGAAAGTCCTCTTACACGCCTCAGCTCATTAAGGCCAAATCTGCGAAGTGCTTTGATAAACGCTTGAAAACGATGGAAGAGCTCTGTGATGCCAACTTTTTTCACCAAACTCTAAAGCAACTAAACATAACTGAGAAGTCATTCCGAGGAGATCTGTGCTTTATTTACACTAGCCAGATTGACAGGGCTCTTCTGGGCAAACAGAGAGTTACTAGTTTTCTCTTCGAAGCTGAACGCGAATGGGAGAACGAAGGAACCTCAAAGAACTTCAATATTTCTTCCAACAATCCAACAGTCCCTATTCTGAACTTATCTGGTGAGCTGCTGAGTCTCGAATCATACACCACCTGCATAGATATAGATCACATTAAGCCAGGTGTGGAGTCTATGGAAGGGCCTCCTGAGTCCAGTTTATCTGACATTACGCAGGAAACCTCAGAGGCTGCCGACACGGAGACCAAAGGGAGTTTCAGTAGCGACAAGAGCATTGAGGCTTTTGGAGGTGTCAGTCCTTCTAGTCTACAGGCAAATTACTTTGATGGTCTGGAAAGAAAGAGCAAGGTATCCATTGCATCACCATCTGAAAGTGCATCCAGCTATGTTGCCGTCCCACAAAGGATGACTGATGGGAATCTAGTCCCGATGGATGCAGCCTGCTGTATTGGACAGGACGGTTTCATTTTTGAGGAACCTTTACCTGAGCTTGCTCAGGAGTGCTGTGGCGACACAGTGGTGAACCAAGAACCTCTGTCTCTTCTTCAGGGAGACCCCGCCTTACAGGTGGACTACATTTTGGAAGAGTCAGCCCTTGCAGAGAGCCCAAACATGGGACTGACTTTTTCTGAACTGAACACTGGCGTTCTTTCTGAGGAGGTGGCGAAAATTAATATAGAATATGTCTCCGATAGTACGAGCTTTATGAGCACCTCCACCAGTTCTGACCGTGCTGTGTCTCCGTTCACCTACAGTAGTGCGTTGACGCTAAAGCAGAAAAAGAAAGCTGGTCACAGCTCTCTTCGATTCATCAGGCAATATCCATTTGCTCAGCAAGCCATTTTCTGCCTTCTGAGTGGCCGAACGCTTGTTATTTTAGGGGTGGATGAGGGCACGGTGAGGAAGCTAGTCAATGCTTTGTTCTTTTTCGTTCCCAATCTCGGCAAGTATGGTGAAACCGTCCAACCGTGGCTTTCATCGCCATTTCAGCTTACCGACCTGCAGAGATGGAAACTTATTGGGTTGCAGAGGTATGTTGAGAAAAGCTGACCTGTAGTCAGTCAATAACTTTTTTTTTTTTTTTTTTTTTTTTTGCTTGCAATGCTTTAAATCAGTGACCAAAAGTGCAGCGTTTCATTATTTTTGTCATTTCCTCTCTTTTTTCCAGAGCTGCCTCCCCGGCTGGATCCAGCATTCTCCACTCTTTGAATCGATACAGCCGTTACATAAGCATTTTGGACTCTGACAGCAAGACCCTCCGGTGTCCACCATACAAAGGAACACTAATAAGCCATTTGGCAGACCACAGGACTCAGATCAAACGTGGCAGTACCTACTTCCTCCATGTTCAGGGTATGTTGACTCAGCTTACAGCCAAGGCATTCCTTTACACATTCTGCCATCATATTCACCTTCCCATGGACATCAACGACCAGGGCTCGGTAACGTCACGCAGGACTAATTTCTTGTTGCAGCTCGGCTACACTGTGGAGGAGAGTAAAATCGTCCAGTACCTGAGTGAACTCATCAAGCAGCATTACATTCAGGGGTCATCGATGGGGGGCAACCAGTCTTTTTGTTTTAATTACACCACCAGCTATTTGTACAAAATCTGATTGTGTCCACTATATGTTCAACATTGACCCATTGATAAAAATCAGGAGACCAAATGTATTGAATGTAATCACCTTTTTTCTCTTCATGGCATTCCAGGAAACAACAGGTTGAACGTCTGGTGTTAGAAAATGTGGTATTGACTATTTGTTTAGTGTAGAGGTTGCATATTTAAATCTATTGCCAAGCCGTTTTCTGTAAAATGGTTCCTCTTGTGGTTTGAGGACCTTACAAAAGCTCTGAAATAATATCAAGATTCAGCTAAATTTCACTGTTGTTCAAGCACAAGTAGTCTTGTTTTGAAAGAGGCTGTACAAAACAGCTCATTTAAATATGTGTAGCCACATGCTTGTTTTCGTTGACAGCAAAAGCTACACAGGAACAGCAGCAGGAGAGTCTCTAATCACCATTTAATTAATCTGGTCCTGGTATCCCATTTAATAATTAATGGGTTTTTTGTCTTCACAAGCAAAGCAACTGTTGCTGCATGAAAATCACAAGCATAGTTTTTATGG